CAACCCCACAGCAAGAAGTACTTGTAGTAGGAAATTATCACTAATTCTGTTATGGTATGGTATTGGCTGGAGAATAGAGCACTCTCATTATGTACATGAATTTGGATGTTTATCATATAAGAACTTCTATATATTGGCAGAAGTAAATGTAGTGCAAATTTCAAAATCTATTATGATTTTACAATTTGAAGGGATAGCAAAGTAACTTTGATTGTTTTAGGTTAACAGTACGAGGTTGTCACTGTAATAGGCTAGGAAATTGAGGTTTTCAGTCTTTCTTTATTCTGGTAGGTTTTTAATACAGCAAATGTTGATTATCCGTCTTCATTTCCATCTCTCCTCTCTCTCTACATGCAAATTCCCTTACTTTTGGTCTGGTTTTATTTGATATATCATCAGTTCAGTTTGAGTGTGGGGCAACATGGATCGCAATGATCCAATTTGCAACCACTCGAGTGTAGCCCAAATTGTTATGTTGAAGTTCTTGTTCTTGTAACCCAAAATTGAAGCTTAGAGTTTCAAAATAAATTAATACAATTCAAGTCTTAGTGAATTTGATTTTGGGCTACTTTTGAGATGGCAATGATAAAAAACTGTGTTAAAAATAAAAATATTACTTGTCAGAATTTTCTATAGACATGCACAAAGAGAAGCTTCACCATATATTTTGATGATCGCATTATATTTTTTGGGGCTTCACCATATGTAGATGCTATATTATAAATGGACGCTTCTATTTTGCTAACCAACATCGGTTTCTTCTCCTTTAAGACGAATGAACAAGAAGTAATAACAGGTATTGAAACAATGTTCTATTGGTTTTCTTATTGTCAAATTAAGTAAGGGTGGCTGCTGAGTGCCTACCAAGTTCTAGGACTGTTGGTTTTGAGTTGCATCAGTGTTTCCCTCCTAATCTATAGTTAGGCGGTTGAGAACGAACTTTGTTTTATGCTTATTTTTTAATTGCATTCTATTGTCTGTTGGAAATGTTTGTAATAACTGTTTGAATTCTGGATCTTGAAATTGCAATATATTTTTTCCTAGAAATATGCTCTTCATAAATGTGTTAATAGTTTTTATTTCTTTGATATATTCTTAATCTAATTTTTAGTGTCATCATTTGTAACTAAAATTTTTGTATGCTTGTGTAATTGAATTCTCCATAACTTGGTTTTTTTGTTTTGTATTTGTTATACGGAGTATCTTTCAGAAGTTGGTTTGTGGATTAGTTGAATCTTTTAATTCAAAAGAGTGGCTTCATGATCTACATGGCATTGAGTAAACTTTAGATGCTGTGGGCTTGGTCTCTCCTAAAATTTAATCTTGTGGTTCTTAAAGCCCTAATTTGATAAAGAAAAATTCTAGAGGTTAGGGTTACGCATACCACCAAATTATTGAAATACACAGCAATCATGTAATCCCTTTGCTGTGTTTATAATAATGGTTTCAACTAGGGATGTTTTGAATTGTAATACACTCTTAAAAATATTTTATTCATAATTTTGTTAGTTGTTTTTATTTCTATTCTACTTTTTTATCGACATTTTTATGGAGAATCAATTACTGTAGTTGCATGCTATTTGATTCAATTCTTGGGTATTTAGAATTTTTTTTGTTGTATTTGCTTCGTATGTGAACAACTTTTATGTTGTAGCTAAAGTAATTGCTTCTGAAGTTGGTAGGTTTTTTTTTTTTTTTTAGTTTAGCCTTCTCATTCAAAGGAGTTGGCTTTATGATCTACATGGCATTGACCAACTTTGGTTGCTGTGTGCTTGGCCTCTCCTAAAATTGATACGGTGGTGTTTAAAGCCCTAATCTGGCAAAAAGAAAAAAAAATTAGAGGTTAGGGTTACGCATACCTCCACATGATTGAAAAAAATACCCTATATTGTTTCATTCTCCTTTCATTTTCTTGTTTTTCTATTCTATTCTTCTTTCTTGCATTTTCTATTTTGTTGTTTATGCTTTCTGTTTCATTTTTCTTTCCTTGTTTTACAATTCTAATTGCATTCTGATATTTTTATACCATGCTTGGTTGATAAACTGGTTTAATTTAATTTCTTTCGGAGTTTGATCTGCTCAGTAAGCAGAAGTTTGTCATGGTGCCTAGTGATGGTAACTTTTGACATTATGCATCATATGTATAATTTGATGCCTTGTTGTTTCTCCATGAAGGAAAATATGGTTGCTTTATTATTTAAAGATTGAAGTTGTTAATATGGGCACTCATAAGGCATTTTTGGGCATCATCTTGCATACTTCCTTACCTGGGAAATTGTCATATGTATAGATATATTAGTAATGATATGCTTCCCGATGCTACTGCAAAATCAATCTATATTTGAGATGGCTCGGCCATGTCATTGCTCAAACCCACACTTTTGCTCAAACCTGCACTTGTGCCAAACTAAAAATTTCCCTTTCACGGAAACAAAAACAGAGGATCAGATATGACAAGGACAATGCTCTGATAATGGTTTTAACCAGGGATGTTTTGAATTGGCACACTTCTTTTAAGTGTATATGCTCTTCATAAATGTATTAGTTGTTTTTATTTCAATTCTACTTTTTGCTTAATGTTGTCGTCGGAATCAATTACCGTAGTTACATGCTATTTCATTGGATTTTTGATATTTAGATCTTTTGTTGTATTTGATTCAGCTTTTATGTTATGGCTAAAGGTAATTTGTTCCAGAAGTTGGTAGTTTTTATTATATTTTTAAAATAAAATTAGTTTAGTCTTTTCATTTAAAGGAGTTGGGTTTATGATCTAACATGGCACTAACAAACTTTGGGTGATGTGTGCTTGGCCTCACCTAATATTTGATATGGTGGTGTTTAAAGCCGTAATATGTCAAAATAAAAAATTCAGAGGTTAGGGTTACACATACCTCCATATGATTGAAAAATCTGTATATTGTAATTCATTCGTTTTTCTGGTTTTCAATTGTAAGTTTCTTTCAATTATATTTTTTGCATTTTTTATTTTGTTGTCTATGTTGGCCCTATTTTTTTTTTTAACAATTCTAATTGCATTCTGATTATACAATCCTAGGTTGATAAACTGATTTCATTTACTTTTCAAAAAGGGGAAAAAAAATATTGATTTCTTTTGTAGTCTGATTAGCTAATTAAGCTAGTTATTTTTCATGGTGTGTAGTGATAGTAACTTTTTGACATCATGTAATATATATATATATGCATATTAAAGAAAATATGGTTGTTTATCTGTTTTAAGGAATGTAGTCGTTACAATTGAGACTGATAAAAGCATTTCCGGCCATCATCTGTCCTTACATTGGTTGTATTTTCTTGGAATTTCTCAAGAAAGATAGGTTATGAATTTTCCTTCTTGTAGCTTGACAACAAAATATCTCTCTCTCTCTCTCTCTCTCTCTCTCTCTCGTAGTTGATACTCACACACCCATGCCTCTACTAAGACTTTGAACCCCTGACCTCCTTTTAGGAAGTAGGGACTTGATACCGTTGGACCACTGGGCTGTCGGTGATTATTTGTCATTTTCTATGCAGGTTGCAGAAATCTTTTTCTATGCAGGTTGTAAGTTTTTTATGTTAGTTTATTACTTGTGTGTAAAAGGGGAAAGCATAGAAGGGAAAGATTCATTTCTTACTCTGAATCCAGTGAGTAGATGGCACAACAATATGCATCCAAGCAACATGGCAACAGTGGTGGCATAACCCCCTGAATGCCTAAAGCACAAAACTTGTACAGGGAATATTGAATTGAGTAGATTGAATATATAGACAATTTTTTTTTTGGGTACAAATTGATTGTCATTTTGATTACTATTTTCAAATTTGTCAATTAATGTAAGACAGTGCCAAGAGCTCTTGTCAAATCATAATGCATCAGAGGTTGGCAGACAATAGCCTTCTTGGGCATTATCTATATACTTTTAATCCAACAAAATTCTTCAAAACAAATGTCTTGTGTAACCTACAAATATGTGTGTGTGTGTGTTTAGGTACCCCGTTTCTGTTTTTCACTCATCTCTGTTGATGAAGTTTACCCCAAGTACTATTTTCTGATTTTGTAGGCTGAAACAATTGTAGAAAATCAGAACTAGATTATCTGTGACTTTGGATTCTACATTGTTTTAGCCTTTAGGTTTGCTTTAAATTGGCACATATATAGTCAAAGGCTTTCAGCAGATAGCTTATTCCATTTCATGATATCATCACCAGTGATGAGCAGCGAGTCAGGAACTAAAAGATACTTTCCAACAGTTTTCTGAAAAGTTACAGGTGACCTCAGAATTGAACTGAACCTACTGGGATATCCATTTTGAGAGATGTATTTTCATTGTGTTCTTAAATTTTCTGTTTGGATTCATTGACTTTTTATCCTCGGTTGTGCATATTATTGTAGTATTGATGCATCGTTTTTTTGGCAAGAAGCTACTATGGTCATTGTGGAGTCAACTATAGTTAGGATGCATGATGGACCTTTTTTATTTTTTATTTATTTTTTTTATTAACAAGAAATTCACGCACCCATTTGTTCGTAAGGGAACTCGAATGCTTACCATGTCCTTTGAGGCGTATCGGAAATACCACTATGTTACAACCCACCGTGCACGATGAATTGTTACCCCGTGTTTGCTGTTGAAGGGTTTTGTATCTGTTGTACAAGATACACAATAAAGAGGTGGAAATATGGTAGTGGTGGTAGTGAAATAAAGGTTGAACTTCCTTGAACCCAAGGAACTAATACAATGAGGCACTTTGCATAAAAATACCAAAGTTTTAGGTGTACCTTTTCCACTCTTCTCACTGTTCGACATATAGTTGAAACCAACACACTGGGCTTTCATGCTAATATTTGGAAGTACCGATTCGGCACCCTTGAACTAAATTTCCTCCCAAATCACTAATTTGATGAAATGCCTTGTTGTTTTGAGTTTCACCCTGATGGTAACATGATGTACCACAAAGCAATCAAACATATTTACATGGAACAAAACAAAGAACCTGCTACCAATCAACGTTGCTTTCCCCAAACATAAAAAAGAACTGATTGTTACATAAATCTCACAAACTATATATAATGAGAAGTGAAAAAAACCAAATCTTAAAATCACAGTTACATCTGAAATAAGAAGCCAAAACGGCTGATGTCCAAGTCTTCTTATGTGATCGGTCAAAGTTCTGCACTGATCTAACCATCATGCCCAAAAGATAAACAGATAGCAATAATCAAACAAATTAACAAAATTCAAACTCCTAAAGTTAATTGTTTCAACTCATTGTCAGCAGATACAACTCAACTCATTCTTCTTCCATTAACCTACTGTCTTCTTCTTAGTCCGGGTTCAAATCGTCTCACAATGCAGGCAAGGAAGAATTAACAAGAGTTGAGCCCCGGAGGTCATTGCAAAGGCTAGCCCCCTCATGTGTCTTGTTGTTCTCTGTTCTTGGGCTGCTTCCAGCACTGCTGCTAGAAAGTGATCTAAATGTGGTCTTCTGCAAGACCCCAGTTGGGGATGACGCCAACCGAGGGCTGTTGTCCCAGCCTTTGGTCATCAAGTTGAGAGCGGAGGAGTTCTTGCAGTCGCTGGCACTGTTATTCGTGCTATGCAGCACTTCACCAAGAGGTCCACCCATGGAAGTCTCCCAGGAGATCGGAATCCAACTGGCTTGCCTTTGGTTTGGTTCATGTATGACACTACCCACTCCCAACCCCATTTGAGTTGTTGAGTCGAGCTCCCTTGATAACCTCAGTGGCGAAAGCGTGGGATTGGGATTTTCGTTTGCAGGAGAGGAGGTGGATGACATGAAGTCTGAAGAAGCCATGGGGATCGAAATTGAGAGTTGGGTCCTATCCGACTGCAGATCAATTTCCGGCCATGAAATGGCTGAGCGTTCGGACTGGTTCTTAGGCCAATCGTCAATGAACTGGTGAAGTGAATGCTGCGATCCGGTTTCTCTATTGTTGAGCTCTTGGGAAGAACTGTAGTTTCTGCAGTCAACGAGCGAAGAACTCTTATGCACAGGGTTGAGCAAGGAATCAGAGCAGACGAGTCCAAAGTCGGGTCTAGAAGAATCTTCATATGGATTTCGCTGTTTTGCAATGGAAAATTGGTTCTCTTTTAGGCCGCCAATGGCCGGAGATAGCATTGAGAGGTCTGATGCATCTTGCATTCTCTCACCCATATTCTCCTTGTTCAGAAAAATCCTATAAAAAAAACCAAACCATTAAAAAGAAACCGCTAATTAGCCCAAGTTTATGTGAACTTATAATCCACCTAACACACACATGTTGATCATTTGCATCAAAATTCAACCAGCTAATTAGCCCAAGTTTATGTGAACCACTCATAGAAATAGGAATGGCAAAAATTTTCACCCTGTCCTGTCTGGGGACGGTTTTGGGAGAACCGATTATGTAAACGGAGACAAGATGGGGGCTATTTTGAAAAACCCAACGGGTTTTGGGGAGGTTTCAAGGAATGGTTGCCCCGCCTCGTCCCACCCCAAATATACTATAATTTTACGAAATTATCCTTACATATTATGATATATTAATAAAATAGGTCAAGTATGTATAAAGGGGTAGTAAAAATCCCCACCTCGGCAAAACCCCACTCTGTTTGGGGCGGTTTTGGGAAACCGATCACGGGGATAAAAAAAATTAAACGAGAAATGAAGAGAAATTCTATAGTGCTCTCTCTCTCTGACACATGTTTATCATTTGCATCAAAACCCGATCACTAAATTAGTAAAAATACATTAATGTTAGTTAAATAAACATAATTTATTCTTTCTTAAGAAAGAATATCAGCTACCAAGTTCAGTCACTTTCACAAATATAAAGATGTAAATATAAGCACTGCACATGATTTTATATCAATGTAAGTTCTATGAATGTAGGCCAAAAGTGAATATATGCCAAAAGGATAAGAAATTCATATCCACAAGGGGTTTTTCTTAGTCACCTGTTGTTGACATGGGGGGCTGAACAAGGACTTGGTTCACCAGGCTGCAAGTTCTTGATTTGGTGGTGGTGGTGGTGCGAGAGGCCGAGGTTGGATGCGCCGCCTCCGGACACCACAGATGCTGACGTGGAAGAAGCCATGGGCATCAGCTTATCAGTAGTAGCAGTAGTGGTGGTGGTGGGTCCGGTGACGGAATGGCCGGTTTGGCCTTCCACAGGCTTTCTTGAACGATGGCGTCCCCTGTTCATGTGCCGCTCGCAGTACTTCTGATCTGCAACGGCGTCCCTTGAGCACCGCCATTTCTTCCCATCCGTCCGTCGACACCTCCCCGGTTCAGGATCAGCGTTGTTGGAGAATCCCAGATGGAAAGCACCCCATCCCACTTTCAACATTCAAAAAAAATGAAAACAACCAAATCAACTAACACAATAAAAAGAGCAAACACATATGTGCATACAAAGCCCCCAAAAAAATTGTACTTCATTTTAGTCCAATGCAAAAATTAACTATAGATTTTCACCTATAATCAACACAAATTATTAAAAAAAAAAGAAGTTAATCCCAATAGTATGGTATACAACAAATACACAAATACCACAAGAATAATAGGATTAACTAGAAATTTTCACCTATAATGAACACAATATACTTTATCCATCATTAATCCAAACTATTTTGAAGGAAATAGAGGGAAAAAGAAAACAAAATCAAATCAATAGTACGATATAGCAGCTAATGAATTAGACAACTACCCACACATACTTGTATTGTTGAAAGGTTGACTCCTACCCCCACATACACACACAGTGACACACACACAGATCATATAAGTAATTAGAGTATGTTAATAATATTGGTAATCAATTTTAAAGACAAGTACGCAAATCTTGTTAAGAGAGTGAAAAAAAAAAAAAGGAAAGAAAGAAGAGAGAATAGACAGACTTACAAGTAGTGGGTCTAAGAGGTCCTCCTGAAAAGCTAGAGAAGCCAACAGAATCAAGTGCTTTCCTAATGGGGATGAGCAGATTAGAAGGAATAGGGACATTTGCAGTGATGTACTTGTAGATCAAGGCCTGGTGTTCCAACTCCATCCACTGTGATGGAGTGAAAGGACCTCTCACACCAGCGAATGCCCCATGCATAGTTGCAGCATTCAAACCTCCAGACCCATGGCCTGAAAAAGAGAAGACCAAAAGATTTAGGTCAAAATATTGATAGAAAAAGCCAAATACTGATATAACATTTTCACTGGAAATGAAAAAAAAAAAAAAAAAAAAAGACCTCTGAGACTGTTAATAAGTGTAAAAGGAGAAATCAGAGTGTAGAAAGGGGTATGTGACAGAAAACCCAAAAAATTTTAATTTGTCTGCAACATTTAAGGAGGCTACAACAATCATAAAGTTCTTGTTTTTAGATGGAACAAGAAAACATCATAGAGAGAGACAGAGAAAGAGAGAGAGAAAGAGAAAGAAAAAGAAATCAAAACCCAATTAAAGGAAAGATTGGTCTAATGTTACTAGCTCCTAGTATTATTCCCTCTTATGTGTATATGCTTGCTTCATTTCTTTTCTTCTTTTGTACCCATCAACAGTTTCTACTGTGTTGAAATATTACCAAAACCAATCTCCTCAAAACAGGAAGACAAAGATTTCAAGGACCCAAAAAAAAGAAGTTTTTTTTTTTCTTTGACAAGACTCCAAAACCAAGATTTACTATAGATTTACATGAAAAGACCCTCTTTTCAGTACTTGGCATTCAACCCATCAACCATCTTGTGCTGCAAAAACTTGCCTAATCTTTCCAACCCAACCAAGTAAACATTCACCAAAACCCAGAGTCCAAAAATGAGAAACACTTTCACTCTCTCACATAATGTGTCACACACTTACACTACATACACACACACACACACACACATATATACCTGTATTTCTACCATAAGCATTTGAAGATTGGTGATAGAAAGGCAGTGTGACAGTTTGTGAGTTGGGTGAAGAGAAGCTGAGCATATGCTGCTGAGCATCAGTAGAGAAGCAGAGAGAGGAGTTGTTGTTAGTAGATGTAGTATTAGATCTCAGTAAAGGACTACTTCTCTGCTGGTGGTGGAGGAGCATTGTTGTTGGTTTGGAGGGTGAGAAATCATCACTAGAAGTATGTTTTGCCAGTTTTAACCCCCTCCAGTCATCTTCAGTAGCAGTCCCAGAAGATCTTTCTTGCTTGAGAAATCCAGATCCGTACCACTTTTGCTTGGTATCAGCAGGATCTGAAGAAGTAAAACCAGTGTCTGAACCCAAAAACCCATCCAAACCCACCACCCCAAAATCCATCACAAACCCACCAGACACACAGAATCGAGCATTGGGACACTCAGAGAGAGGCTTGAAGAGGTGTTGTTGGAGGGAGGACCATTTTAAAGGGTGGGCTATCACTGCTATGTATGGTTGGGTTAGAAGAGGCTGAAAAATGAATACCAGAGTGGTTTTGTTTTAGGGAGTAGTAGATGTTTGTCAATAATAATAATAATAATAATAATAATAATAATAATAATTGGAGAGAGAGAGAGAGGTGGTAGCACTAAATACATCCTCTATGAGTTAGTATATCATCCTTTATAACTACACGTACTAACAAAAAACAATCTTAAGGATATGTGTGTATGTGTATATGTACATATATGGATACTGATAAGGTGGTTGTATTTATTGATGAGATGTTATGTGAAAGAAAATTTAATTGGGGATACTTCCTTTAATCATGAGTTTAATTTTATAAACATATGAGATGTTACCATGTAATATTATTTCTTTGCTAAGTGACACAAAATGAGTGCAAAAGCACATAAATGCGACAAAATTTAAATCATATAAAATGAGTATAGCAAAGCATATACATAGCTTAAGAACAACACTTATTCATCTGTAAGGGCTTTTTCGCATTGCAATTTAGAAGGCTGAGGTTAGAGTTCTTCTAAACATTTGCAGTTGTGTTGTGTTAAATTATTGTGGAGAAAAAGTGTTTGCTAATACACAAAGTGTTGCACAGAATTTCAAAGCAGAACAAAGCAAAACACATTGTACAAAATATTCTTTAAATAATGTTATCAAAGGAGTTCTTTATATACCTTTAATATATCATTTAGTGATTTTTTTTACTTAAAAGATGGTATGACTTAAAAAAAAAAATTGTTTTTCTTCTTCGTCCCTATCTTTTAATGTGTATTTAATATTGGTGTGACCGGATCTGCTTCTGAAGTCAATCATAATCGTTACGATTCAACATAAAAACTTAAGCTATTAAATGGGATTAATAGTCAAACCATTTACTTATTTCACTTCTAATCCGAATTCGACGTGAGATAATTCTAAAATAAAGAATTACATGCACAAATCAATGCATTACAAGTCCATCTCAATTTATAAAGCATTAATCTCTCAATGAAATATTTTCATAAAAAAAATATTGTAAGTCCATCCCAACTTATAAAGCATTAATGTTTTAATGAAATAGTTTCAGAAAAAAAAAAAAAAAATCATCTCAACTTATTGCCTTATTGGTAACAATCTAGTTCTACAAGTTTCATTAAAACCCATGCAATACATGATTTAATGCTAAGCCGGAAACACCAAAAATATTTTGCTCAATGTGAAGTCCCGTTAAGTTATGTAGTATGGACACGGATACAACTACGTCGACATGTCAAATTTTTTTTAAAATAGGATACGAATACGATTTGGATACAGCGATATGTAAATATGAATTTTTATTTATATACATGTATTAAGTAATAATATTATAAAACTTTAATTCATTTCTAATTTTATAATAAGAGTTATAATAAATTTTACATCATATTTACAGTTATTTCACTACTTTGTTATAATAGTATTTTTATTTTAGATGAACCAATATTATTTAATGTTTCGCTTATGATCATATGTCATATGTGTATAATGTCAATTTTTTTTAAAGAAAAAAGTTAAACATTAATGTGTTCATATTTTTTTCAAGATTACCGAGTATACTTGTGTTAAAAATGATTGAAAGTATCGACGAAGTGTATGAAGTGTCGAAAAAGCGTCCAAAACAATAAAAATTTATTTTTATTTACGGACACATGTCCAAGTAGTGTCCGACACGAATACGATACGGGTACAGGTTATTCGAAAAAAGTGTTCGTGCTTCATAGCGAATAACAAATTATGAGTCGATGTGTGAGTCTATAAGTATGCATGTATGTATTATTATTTATAAAACTAGTCAGCCTCCATCTTATTCCCGACACTCCAATAAGTTTTAATAAATAGTCATTTAGAAATAATACTTATTAATGATAAAATTAAATAATATACACTTAAGTGGTAACATAGACTTCAAGATGCAAAAGTCAAAATTGTTTATTTAATTATAATATAAGCAACAAAAATATCCAATAAATTTAATTAAAGTAATTAAAAGAATTTATGTGATTGTCCTGATGATGGGAGATAAATATAAGGGATGGTGATTCATGTCATCTCTTCTTCATTTTTTTTCATTACACTCACCGAGTCAAAACCACCAAAGGATTTTAGTTTTTAAAAAATATTTATGAAAAAAATAGACCATCAAAATGAAGAAGTTATACATTGCATAACATGGTTGCAAATAATTCAAAGCACATGTATCAATTTTTTGGTTATATTATTAGTTCACTTTATTTTGCTGGAGTATCTGTAACTATCTGTTACACCACATTATTTTTGTAAGAGTTACAATGAATGAGAAATTATACGTTGCAATGGTTACAATGAGTAAACAATCCACTAAATCAAAGTGGACTTACAATACAATAAAAAAATAATAATAATAAAAAAAAACTAATTTATTTGCTTTGTAGCCTTTGATAGATTGTTTGTAACCGGTAATTGTATCACATCAGCATTGTATAATTTTTCATACTTACCAAAATGAGAAGGTGTTCGACTTTTGAAGATGATATCTTACTAGAAATATCATCAGTAATTGTTTAGTTGTCAATTTTTGGTTGGGTTTGATTTGTTCAATATCTCAATCTCAAACAAATTTAATGTTTATTGAAAATAGAAAAAAAAATCAATCCGATTTTAATTGATTAAAAAAACAAGTGACCGACTCACAGTGTTGTACATCTAATTTCTTTTACTCCTATTAATACGGGGATTCTAGAGTGTTTCAATCCAACATATGCTTTGAATATATTCATGTGTGGATGCATGTAGGTGCATTCAAAGCATTTAAGCTCGGTGAGACAAAAGATAAGATGTCCCAAAAAAAAAAATTAAAAAAAAAAAAATTGCATTGCCACGTGTCAATGCCCCCCATATATTTAGGTACTCGATACAACTTAAGGCCTTTTATAATCCTACACCTACCTAGCACTAAAAAAACATTGAAGTTGGAATTCAACTAGTATCTTTTTTGGTAAAAATAATAAATAAACTTCAATAAGATAGTTTGACGAATGGGTACAATTTAACACTCTTGGTGCTGTTTAGCCCACCTTTGTACACCAATCAATTGTTCAAGACCTACTTCGTTAAAAAGTCTACGAGACAATTTAGTGTCATTATAGTTTTACAAATCAATGAATATTTATTGTCTTTTTACTTTTTCTATGTACTTAGGTATGTGAAGTTTCAACAGGTATATAAATTTTCAAAAACAAAAAATGTAAATTACACCCACCGAAATGTGTAAATGGTTTAATTTTTATTCTTTTTGAACTCTTTTGAGATTTGACAAGTATACATCCTTAATATATAGTATTATATATATATATATATATATATATATATATATATAAAATGTACTCCATCATTCCAAAATTTTTGGTTATTATGGGGAATTTAATTTTTTATGAAGGTAAATTTTTAATATTTTTTTATTGTATTGTTAAGAGTGAATTTTCAAAGACAAAAGAGTACTCCCAAGTTGAAATACTTATTTAATAAAATAAATATCAAAATGGTAGGTTTAGAAATGTTATAAAAATTAGTACATTCATTTTAAGAATGTGAAATTGATAAGTATTTTGGGACAAAATGAACAATATAATATAATATAAGGGCACTATTGATTTTTTACATTTGAAGTTATTTTTTGGCACATTCTTTTCGGGACTCGAACCTTTTCTCTTTTCTTTGAAAATAGAGAGATTATACTGCTTAGACTAAATATCTTTGATAGTTTAATGTAACTTTTAAATAAAAATAAATAAATAAAAAGTTTGGAAGGTATAAATTTGTGGTTGTTGGAGGTTAGCTGGGGATATTACTCAATTTAATAAAGTAGTAAAAGTTTGGATTGACGAAGCAATTAATTTAAGAAAAATAATACTATTTTGATGATCAGTCATTGATCTTTTCAGCACTCATGTAGGCTGGACAGAGTGGAAAACCTTGTCTTCAGATGTGGTCCATGGTTTGAGAAAATCATCCAATATGTTGATATTAACAATAATTAACAGACATGTTACAATCATCTTCGTCCTCCTCTTCAGGACTTCAGGATAACCAGGATTCAGAACTGGTAAAAAATACTGAAATAGTGGAATGGACCAATGTTCAAAATCAATTGAACAGATGGACTATCCCTCCAGTAAGTGCAAAAAGCATTTACAAAATCGGAATGCTTAATCTAGCTGATCTATGGACTATCAAGACCATGGAACAGACCATGCAATTAAGCACTAAGGATACAATAATTAAGTTATTGTCTTCCCGTGACCTTCAGAGGCACATGCATAAGTATAAGTACATCCATATAGGTTTAATTCAAATTGCTTTTAAACCTTTAACCTTGTTAGGTATGGATGCCTGCATTCAAGCAACCCTTAGGGATGCTAGATGTCTGAAATTTCACCCTTCATTAATGGGTGCACTGGAAACCAGTCTATGTCATGGACCGGTTTATTTTAATGTCTATCCTAGTCTGAATTTATCTTTAACAGATAAAAATATCCATGAGGCAGTTAGTCTTAGGGTTCAGACTTATGGATATGATTACTTACCTGGATCGGAAGTGATAAGTGTTATTTATCGCATCCATTACAAAGTACTTGATACTATGTGTCCCAAAGCCATACGCAAAGACTCTAAAGGAGTGACAGCGTTATGGGATACCAACATGTACACATCAAATGTTGCCACAAAAAGGATGATTCCTTGGAGTGAAATAACATTTCCTGAACACTGGACGATTTCAAATGCCGTTCCAGCACAGCCAATTGCTAATCATAGCTTAGACTGTGTTATTCAGGACCGGGATGGTGATGTTTTTCTGAATTTCAGAAAATCCATAGATCTATCCACATCTACATCATCCAAAGGAAGTCATCTTCCTTATCATGTTTCTTGTCCCCCTTCTCGACATTCGATCTCGTCGGATTACCGTAAGGAAGGACTCCCTGAAGCAGTTGATTCCAAGCTCAAGCTGAAAGGAATACAACAATCTCCGAATCAAATTCCAAGAGGAGTCTACG